AAATGCACTATACACACTTTATTTTAAAGTAGGCTTTTATTAAGCAAGTAAATTAGTGAAAAAAAAAAAACTCACCCTCTGTTTGTTGGGCCAAAATGCAGATTCATCTCGTAACAACTTGTCACACAAATGAGATTGGCGGAGACGTTTGAAAGTTTGATTGGATTTATGAATTTCATGACAAAATAACAATTCAAAACATATTATCTATATTATATACGTATATTTACTTTCAAGATGAAAATCATTGTTTTGTAAAGCTATAGAGGCAGCTTGACTCCCCCGCGACCTACTGTACACCCCTGAGTAAAGTTGAGAGAAGTTTTGGCCTATGTCTCATGAATCAACTGTTTTTATGGTCTTAACTTTAAAACAGCTTGTTTTGTGAACTAATAATGAGAGCAAACAGTGCTTTAATTATCCGTCTGTTGGTTTATGTCGTATGCCGCGGTGTGGAAATGAAAAGTCGCTCCCTCCAACGGCTTCCTTCAACGCACCATCACTGTTTTAATTACCAGAGTAAGCAACTCTCCTTACCCCTCATCCTTCCCATCTCAGCACAGTGGGATGCAGAGCCTTGCACACTGAATATCCTCTCCTCCAACCACGGGATAATTGACACCCACTCTGCCTTCAAGCTGAGAGAGAAACCAGAGTGGGGGAACGAGAGCAAAGAAAAGAGTGGGAAAAGCTGGAGTCAAGGAGAGAGCGGGTGTCCCGCGGCCCAATCGTGAGATCCAGGGAGCAGAGTCGCTTTCTCTCCTCCTTGCACAAACAATCACTTTCATGGCTCAAAACCCAACGGCGACTCAAGATGCGATTTCTATAACCAAACAGCCGACGGGGCCCCTGGCATGTCTTATCAGCTCAGAGCAGAGGGCCGCAGAGGCCCAGGCAATTTGAGCCTTGTGATAAACTTCACATTTCCACTCAACGGCCCTGGATTGGTCCAAGAAGACGGGGTGCAGGGAAAAGACAAGGGAGGAATGAAGGATGACTGAGAGTGAGGGTGTTTATGAACTCACTTGTTTTGAGGAACGACAGAAATACATGATGAAACGGAAACCCTTTTCGGTGTTGTTTGATGCAGGAGCCGAAGTTTTTTTGTTCGGCTTTAAAAGTTTTTAAAGATGGATCCGAATAAAGTCACTATAGGCCACCCACAAATTTACCATGGTAAATGGGAATTATTAGGAAGAGGAGTGCTTTAAACCAGTGTTATTTTAGGATTATGTATGTAATAGGGCTATTCATAAATATTTTGAATTTGCTTTTATTTTTCCTACACTCTTAGAAAAAAAGGGTTCATTGGGGTTCTTTACTCAACTCCAAAGAACCTTTTATGCTAAAAAAGGTTCTATAATGCCAAGAAAGAACCTTTTTTGGCACAAAGGTTCTTTATAGGCTATTATTTATTCATATATTACATTATTCTGTAACATTTTGAAGTTGTAATTAAATTATTGTCATTAGTAACTTAATATCACATTTTAATCATGCTGATTTTTGGAGGAGAAGAACTGAAATGGCACTCTTCGTTTAATATTGATTAACTACATAAAATGATATTTTCTAACTCCCATATCTTGAATTTTGTGATCATTCACATGCATTCATAAATACATTTTAGGGTCTTGATGTTTGTCAATAATATGAAATATTTAATCTGGAAAGGACAAAACAAATGATAATCAATGAACCCAAAAGGTTCCAAATAGAACCTTTTTCCTGGTTACAAAGAACCCTAAAGGGTTCTTATTAAGGATTCTGTATAGAACCTTTTAGGGGTTCCAAATACATAGCGCTGATAGAACCTTTTAAGGTTCTATATAAAACCTTTTCTTCTAAGAGTGTGATAAGCCTAAAATAACATATTTTACAAAATGCTGTTTGAAATAAGTTTAACATAATGCTTTTTTGTTTTGTTTTACTTTAACCAAATTTGATTGGTTTTGATTGATATGATTTATTTTTTTTAAAGTTTTTTTAATTGGTTATTTTAAAAGTAAATCTGCATGTAGTTATACCATATAACAGGAATAACAGGCAATTATTTACCGTAATTTTAGAAACAGTCATTTAATTCTCATTCAGTGTAGGCCATTCAGTGTGTTTTTATACATAAAGGAAGGAGTTCATTTACTATGGGATCATCACATTAGGAGGGGTTCTTCATTTGAAAAGCCTTGACCTGAACATGGTAACATCACAAAAATGTGTTTTCCAATAAAGACACAAATGATCCTTGAATGATTAGATTTTATTTTCAGTAATAATCACAATTCTTCCACTAAGTATCGTTCATAATTGCGCGACTCTCTGCAACACTTGATTGGACAATCGCATCAGTTGAATATTTTGCAACAATGAATGCTATTTTATAATGACTTTCAATGCAGATGGATTTAAATGTACTAAAGTATTAGCATAATGCCATTTCTATAGCTAAATGTTGCTGTCCCAGCACGTTCAATCGGTAAAAGTCTGATATCTGGCAATACTGCCCATGGCAAAACCCAATAATGTGGTATAGTGTATTGTGTTGAGGTGCTATTGATGCTGTATTGATTTCCCCGGTCAAGGTCATGAGCAAAGAGAAGCATCTCTTCTGAGTACACTTCACTGATTGATCGCCTATTAGGGAAGAGCGTTAAATATCCCCTGCATTATGTAGCGTTGAAGCTAATGACAAAGCCAGCTTGCGCATGACTTATTAAGGCCAGGATGAAATAGAGCTCCAGCAATTGGGAAAGTGCTTTCTTGGCGCAGGTCAGAGCTGATGCATAGCAGCCACAAAAACTCCACCTTGTTTAATCACATCAGCAAATAACCATATGATAAATCAGTGCTGGATAATGGTTTGCAATATTACTTGCACGATAAAACACCCTATCGGCTTTTAATGAGCGGAAAGCACAATGATTCATGTGAACCTCTCAGAAACAACACGAAGAGCTCTTCTCATCTAGTCAGGATACAGAGACAAGGCATTTAATGTTGTTTATTAGATACATATAAAATAAGATAGAAAAATACATTATAAACCTGTAACAATGGCTGTTAAAACAGACACGTCTTCTCATAGGCAATACTTGGGCAGGGAACACACACGTTTGGGACTGAAAGACCTCATGTCGTACACACATATCCACATTAAAAGACATTCACGTGATTCTTAAAGCCAAAATGTGTCATTTTGTTGATGTTAAAGTATACTTTTTTTTATTTTTATCCCAGTTTCACGTGCAGAAACAACTATAAAGCAAGTTGAAAAACACGAGTCGATATGTCGTCATTTGGCTTAACCAATGGTACGGGTCTGGGGGCGGGGCTTCCTGTTGGACTGACCATGCTCGGAAAATCATTATTTTTTTTATCAGTCCTTTTGGTGTCAGAACTTAAAAACCAGGACTAATCAGAATAATATACTTTTAATTGATTAATTGAGTGTGAGACGTCATGCCTTATCAATTACTGTATAACTCATCTTTCTTCATTAAGTATTTTATTTGTTTTTAAAATAAAATTAGTCTTATTCTTTTAAAAAAACCTGCTTTCAATTCATAGATCATTCACATTTTCAAACCTTGATATCAGTACCTTGGTTGATATCATAATATTGTTATGGCACTGGAGAATCATAAGTGAAAATGAAATGCAGACACAACAGGAAGACTGATGTTTGATGTCACAGAGACTCCCCTCAAGAGGCCATTGTGTTGCATAGTAAAGAAAGAGTTTCGAGGGGGACGAACGTGACGGTACACACAGCTTACCCACCGCTCTCATCTCATCACCAACTACATGCGGTTTCACATCCACAAAATATCATTCTTTAATCAGTATTTGTTTTGTTTCTAAAAAGGTTGAAGCATGTTCACTCCAGAGGCAAAATTATACAATATCAAAACTTGCTGGCAGAGAAGTTGATTATTCTCACTCCACTGGAAACATTTATTTATTCTTTTGGTGAGATTTATGCTTAAAACAAGGAAAATAAACTATATTCTGTCATTCTGTCAAACTCTTTTTTTTTACACTTCCTTATTGCAGTTATTTAGTTAACTCAAGCTAAAAAATATCAAAACCAAAAAAATCATCATTAATTGACTCAATATATATACATTAATTGACTTCATATATATATATATGTATATATATATATATATATATATATAGAGAGAGAGAGAGAGAGAGAGAGAGAGAGAGATCATTTTTATTTAGCTTAACTTGATTTGATGTATGGTGAAAGTAAAAATGAAATAAAAAATGAATAAAAGCTGTATATCGACATATTCAGGGGAAAGTACAGAAAACTAAAAAAAGACAACAAAAAAGTCTCTAAATAATATAACAGTGCTTATTAGGGATACGTTGATATTTTAACGGTAAAACAGGACACAAATACTGATAATTTGTATTTTTTGGTTACACTTTATTTGGTAACGCTTTGTTTTACAGTGTCCTTGTTACACGTTAGATGTACTTACTAATAAGCAAACCCTAATCCTAACTCTAACCCTAGTAAGTACATGTAGTTCATTATGATTACTCAACACTAAAATAAACCCTTTAAATTGACGTATTTACATTCTACCTCCTCAAATAAGTACTGAGTAATATTAGTAAACAACTGTACTTACAACAGAGTTATGGTTAGGGTTAATAAGTTGTATTTTCGTGATTTTAACGGTAAAAGACTAGTTTCCGTTCTATATACGGTAAATAACTGTGATGGATCTCATGGTACATTTAATGTAATTTTACTGTAAAATATCGTTAAATTTACAGTTTTTGAAAGTGAAAAAGAACAACTCATTGTATAATTTACAGTGAAAAACCGTAAATTCCCACAATTCCCTGTGTGACACTTCACATTTTAAGTATTTTTGTTGAAATAACTTTGTTTCCTCATAGTTTTCTTGTTTTTTTTTTCTAATCAGTTATGTACCATAGGGTTTTATGTTACATATAATATTGTTAAATTAATGTTTATTACCTTTTTTTTTAAATTTCATGTGTGTTAACATGATGGTGTTTAATTATTTTGCGAATCAGACTGCAGTTTCTATGAAAGTATTAACTTTCTCGTGGAAGACTGTTTAATTTTTATGATTGGCTTTGATACTCTCATCACTGCTGTTATTGTTGGTTGTCAGTGTGTTAGAATGGTACAAAACAGAAATTAATACTTCAATAGGTTGGTAAATTAAAATTATATCAGATAATGAAATACGGTTTATGACTGTAAATTTTAAATTAAATCTGTAAAACCAATTGCTACCGTATTTTTGACGGTACAGTTCTGGCAAGCATAGCTGCCGTTTTTGTTACCGTAAAAATTACGGTTTTATTTTTTTACAGAGTATATTAAGTACATGTAGTAACGTGTAACTACGTCACCTTAAAATAAAGTGTTACCAAGTAACACTTTTGGCCGTGACTGTTGATGTAACAGTGCACTAAACTTCAACATAATGTGCAAATTATTTCATTCAAGTACAGCGAGCAAAATACCTACAATTCTGAAGGATGTGTCTGAAGACTGAAGGCAACTAATACACTTCGACTCCCCGAGTCTGTTTGACAGTGTGATACTGGGAATCAGGAAGGCAGGTATAGGCTGGTGATCCGTCATTTATGTGGTTTCGGAAAGGGAAAGCTGTGTGTACTGACCCAGGCCGGGCTTCCCAAAAGCATTGTAAGTCTAAGTAGATCATAGAAACCATTATGGCTCCAAAACAGCTTGAGGCTCTTCCAAATTCATTTGTCTTTTGTGTGAAATAGATCGTTGGGGATTTGTCCAGTGTAGACAGCATCACTGATTATAATGGGTTCTACTGGTTTTTATCGCATCGCTTTGCGCCGCTCGAGTCCAATGCTTTCTGGGAAACACAGCCCAGGTCTGATCATTCACCACTGATGATGACATTCATATTGAACATGAATCATGAGAACTATGATAAGGCACTTAAAAGATATATCCGTACCAGCCCCACCGGTACAACGAGAGGGTGTTTTGGTCATCCACGTCTACATCCAATTACAGAGAACTGGATTGTTTTCACTTCATAAAGGGTTCAGTATTGTTCTGTTCTTTTTTTTTTTGTTCTCTTCACAATATTCGACAGTATAAAATATTGAGTAGTAAAAATATACGTTCTCTGGAGGATAGTAAAAGTGTTCTTTCTGTACATGTTTTCTTTTGTCACTCTTTGAACTTTTATCTACAAATTTCATACATTTGTACAGCAGATAGGCAAGCATGGCTTATACATCCTCAGAGAGGCTTGTTCACTGAAAGTGTCGGATTGTTCCGGAAGGGAAATAGTCGTCGTCTTCTTCTTCCGTGATTTCAGCCATTCAATCGCTTCTCAAACGGTGGTTGCGATGATGCGATACAGAGGTGAAAACACCATCCACACCGTCATGCGTTACATTCGGACTCATTACCGTAACTGCAGGATCACTGGAGCGGTCCGTTTCCTCAGCGCTGTCGTGGAGCTGTTGGGTTTTGACAGCGAACTGGGATCTGGCTTTGATTTAGAGGGAGCGGGGCAAATCATTATTGCTTATTGCTTACAAAGAGTGCAGATCTACTGCGGCAGGAGCGTCTCCGTGTCCAACGAGTGCAAGCTGTATATCCACTGCCTGGGATACTCTTTTTTTTGTCTTTCATTCACTCATTTTAGGGCAGAGATGTGATCTGCAGGCAGGTAATGGGCAGGTCATCATTGGGTGAAGAGGTCAGAAGGTCAGGGGTTAGTTGCCAGTGGTGGCTGAGTGGGTTAGAGAGACAAACGAACAGAAAAGGGGGAGGGAAACAAGGAAAGGAGGAAGGAAACAAAAGATAGAGGAGATTAGTTTCAGCTAGTGGAAGCAGGATGACAATATGAAAAGCATTTATAAACCGATCACAAGAATAGGCTCTTGATTCAGTCGAGTCTCCCCACAGCACAGCTTTAAAGGGGAACAGCAAGAGGGGACGTTTTTGAGCGACGGTCAGCTTATTTTTTTTTCGGTCTAGACGGAAGCTGGCGGGTTTTTTGGGGGCCGATTCAGCATGTTGAATGAGATAGAGAACTCTGATTGGCTGTTCAATTTAGCGAACGAGTCAGTGCGAAAGAAATGAATTCTGAAGCCCTGAACCGCAACATAAAAAAAAACAAACAAAAAAACTAGCATTTCGAGATTAAAGTTGAAATGTTTTGAGATTAAAGTCGAAATGTTTCGAGATTAAAGTCGGAACGTTTCGAGATTAAAGTCGGAACTTTTCGAGATTAAAGTCGGAACATTTCGAGATTAAAGCTGAAACGTTTTGAGATTAAAGTTAAAAAAATTAGATTAAAGTCAAAACGTTTTGAGATTAAAGTCGAAAAATTTTGAGATTAAAGTTGAAAAATTTCGAGATTAAAGTCGAAAAATTTCGAGATTAGAGTCGAAACGTTTCAAGATTAAAGTCGAAACGTTTCGAGATTAAAGTTGAAAAATTTCGAGATTAGAGTCGAAACGTTTCGAGATTAAAGTCGAAAAATTTTAAGATTAAAGTTGAAAAATTTCGAGATTAAAGTCGAAAAATTTCGAGATTAAATTCGAAAAATTTCGAGATTAGAGTCGAAACGTTTCAAGATTAAAGTCGAAACGTTTCGAGATTAAAGTTGAAAAATTTCGAGATTAGAGTCGAAACATTTCGAGATTAAAGTCAAAACGTTTCGAGATCGAAGTCGAAAAATTTTGAGATTAAAGTCGAAACGTTTCGACATTAATTTTGAAACGTTTCGAGAATAAAGTCAAAACATTACGATAATAGAAGTGTGTTCATTGATAACAGTGCGCGTCCACTAGCTCAGAGAGCATGCGCGTGTGTGTAAAGAAATGCAATTGTGAAATCGAACTGCCATGGATCAACACAAAATAGAAGCTTACTTTTATCTGGGCTTTCAACAAAATTCTACACAGGTGCTAGTGGCAGTGTTTTTGAGGTGTTTTCGTGCTCGTCTAGGCAACACTATCTGGGCCGAGAACACAACAGTAACCGTTCTGGCTCCCTCTTCACCGTAAATACGTTCTGGATCCATTTTAAGTGCATCATTCTGTATCCAATCATTTGGCCGGATACTGTGATTTCCTCAGATTTAATAACCGGTAATGGTTGAGAATAGATTCTCTGATAGCCTAGTATATTTTATAACGTTAACGTAACACACACACACACACAGTGTGAAACTCGCTATGCGCCATTATGAGTGTGTGTCACTGTGAGACAATGGCAAGCACACACGCAGCTTCTACGGAAGACTGTATTCTCGTACTCTCATCTCTCGAAATATTTCGACTTTAATCTCAAAATGTTTCGACTTTAATCTCGAAAAGTTTCGACTTTAATCTCGAAATGTTTTGACTTTAATCTCAGAATTTTTCGACTTTAATTTCAAAATGTTTCGTCTTTAATCTAGAATTTTTTTTACTTTAATCTCAAAATGTTTCGACTTTAATCTCGAAATGTTTCAACTTTAATCTTGAAATTTTCAACTTTAATCTCTAAATATTTCAACTTTAATCTCGAAATGTTTCGACTTTAATCTCAAAAAGTTTCGACTTTAATCTCGAAATGTTTCGACTTTAATCTCGAAATTTTTCGACTTTAATCTCAATTTTTTTTTTTACTTTAATCTCAAAATCTTTCGACTTTAATCTCGAAATGTTTCGACTTTAATTTCGAAATGTTTCGTCTTTAATCTTGAACATTTTTACTTTAATCTTGAAATGTTTCGTGTTTAATCTAGATTTTTTTAACTTTAATCTCGAAATGTTTTGTCTTTAATCTCAAAATGTTTCGACTTAAATCTTGAAATGTTTCGACTTTAATCTCGAAATGTTTCGACTTTAATCTTGAACTATTTCGACTTTAATCTCAAAATGTTTTGACATTAATCTCGAATGTTTCGACTTTAATCTCGAAATGTTTCAACTTTAATCTCTAACTTTTTCGCCTTTAATAATTTTACGCCATCTTACCTGAGCATTTGAATGCACGAATATTTTCATAAACGACTGGAATGAAAAAAAGTGATCAGTGTGATTGATATTTAAAATGGTAAGCACACGCTGCTTTGTTTATGGTTTGTATCTGCAGCCCTAGTTTCACTTTTTGAATGATGAAAATAGACTATTAATATCTGATGCTGATATGCACAGATATTTAGGCATCACAAAACACACATGCTAGTTGAAAGTCGGCTTTAGTCATTTTGGTGTGTTCAAGCGCAAAGTTTTGGCCGAGACGCGGCCGACGAGAGGCGACGACACCGTCCGCTTTCTACCGCCGCTAGTTCTTCGACGTCAGCTTGGTGTGTCCCGGGCTTATATATCAGAGCTAGACATAAAACAGTTACAGTGCTATCATTCATGTAGCTATACTAAATTTAAGTGTAGTTTTATATGAAAACATTTAAGGTGTAATTCTATATTAAAATATATATTTATCCCAGTTTAATATGTTTATTTAATATGAATTTAAGTGCACCAATTATAGGTTTTCCCCAAACTGTATTATCGCACAGCTATCTATATACACTCTGGGTTTGTTTAACCCAATTATGGGTCAAATATGGACAAACCCAGCCATTGGGTTACATTTTTAAATTACATTTTTAATCCAACATTTGGGTTTGTCCATATTTGACCCGAAATTAAGTTAAAACAACCCAGCAATTTTTAGAGTGATAAAGTTGAATATACAGTATATTACATCCAACTTTATCATACATCAAGTACAGTCACGTAAATCAATCCATACTATATAAATCTCAACTGCGTGATTGTTTGTATTGGTGCAAAATGTAAAGTGTATTGTAATCTGCAAATCTACTAACATGTTGTTAAACATTATTATCAGGGGCGAGTTCCATAAACATAGCCAAGCTAAGCAACTTCCCACAAGGCCACTGGGATTTTTTTGTAAAGCCGATTTGAAACGTATTTTGTGAAAAGAGCTATACAAATAAATTTGACTTGACTTTTGACTTGAAGGCGGGACTTTCTGTTGGTTCGTCCAATTGAAAACAGGGGGAATATCCAATAAACATGTTTGAAAACAAACATTTTGTGGTGCTAGTTGCGAAGAAATGACTTCAGCTTGAACTAATTTGATCATTCATTGGACGAAACCAAGCTTGGGTAAATAACAACTTTTGCTGTGGGTTGACTGAATGTGAGAGCCGTGTTGGTCTTCATCTTTGTTATATCATAAAATCATGAGGTAAAAGCATGATTTTACATTTAGCATGAGGAACAGCCTATATCCTGACAGGTCACGTGTTAAGAAGGAAGAAATCAAGAGAGGAACCACAAGAATACAACAGTGATAAATGTGTCTAATGGTTAGTAGTGGTCAAGTGAATGGACAGACTGAAGGAGCGGTCACACTAGGCTTAAGCATGACAGGATATGATGTCATTAAACCCTTCAAATTTGTTTTTGATTTGTCCAAGTTCAAATGTTGGCTTTGGGTCTGGAGTGCATCATTTTAAACCACCGAATTGCTTTTGATTTTGATTTGTTTGAGCCAAGAGGTCAATCCTTCATTAGTAGGGTTGGGTATCGAGAATCGAGTATCGATTGGAACCGAGACTAACTTTTCGTTTTTCCCGGAATCGTTCAAAAGTTAAAATTTCGATTCCTAGTTTCGATATTCACAGTCCGCCGAGCGGAAGAAGAAACCGCTGAACAACACCAATGAAGAAGCGTCTACCGGAAGTGTTGGCATAACCGCGCGAGTCGAACATTAGTAGCTTACGTCAGTGGTCCAAAGTATGGCTTCACTTTTCTAAAAATAACGAAATCTCGGCAAAATGCAAAATTTGTGACAAAAGGAGTATTTGTGACAGGAGTATTTCCTTCAGAAAGGATTATTTCCTTCAGAAAGACCGTTGGTTAGCAAGGTTAGCTAAACTTTTTTGACCCTGCCTCTTAAAAGAATCGGAATCGAGAATCGTTAGGAACCGGAATCGAAACAAGGAATCGGAATCGGAATCAGAATCGTTCAAATTCAAATGATACCCAACCCTAATCATTAGGTCCTCTATCTTTTCGCTATGACTTCCTGAGCTCCACAATTCTGAGCGTATGCTCACGGCGTCTAGTGTGAGCGCGCACGACACGAGAGAAGAAGCTGAGATAAGATGAGAGGAGATCTGAAGACAGTCACATGACTGCTTTCAAACACATGGAGATGGAAGATCAATGCTTTCTTGTTAGGAATCGAGGCATTGGGAAATTTAGTCGTAAATAATTTAGGTCCAAAACAACCGAATTTTTGTTTTTAATTCAATAAAACTTTTTATTGCCTTTTCAAAATCCTTTTTGATCTATGTACAACAACATAAAAATCTTGGCCTTAATGATACAAGCAACACTACAAGGTATTTTCTAGCATAATAGCCATGGAAATTCAAGCTGTGGGACTTTTAGCCTTTTCCCTCAGACTATCACAGGACACATAATATAAAATGCTTTTGCATATAAACATTGAAAAAGTCTTATCACTCATATATAAAGCCCTAACATATATCCAAAAATATAGGAAATTTTCTAACATGGTGCTATAAAGCTGCTATGATGCATATTTTTCTTTCCTACAAATAGCCCTCTATAATACCATTGCTATCTCTTCCAAAATACAAGTCAAATTTGACAATTCATATACATTCCTGTTTTATATATTTTTTTTAGATATATATTTTTATATATTTTAAAAGCCACAAGTAAATACTATTTTCTTTTCAACAACAAAAAATAAAATAAAAAGAAGCTTACAGTAAAACATAAAAAATGTATCAAGTGGAGTTGTTTTCTTTTCTTGAATGCATTTCTACTCTCACACACACTAGCGTCCACTCGCAGCGGTCAACCGTAAGACCGGACAGGTTCACTTCAGTCTCGTGCTCTGAGGTGTGATGTAGCTTTCACCGTTTCATAAAGTCTGCTCTTGAAGAGCGGAGGAGATGAATGTTTCTGATGTATTCAGTGCAAAATAAAAGGCTTGTGCCACATAGAAACACTTTATCAAATGAGGCAAATATGGAAATAATAATAACAATAAAAATAAGTAAACAGCTGAAATAAAAAAAGTGATTCGTGTGGTCCAGTACAAATGCACAGATTGGAAATCTGGAAGTTCTGTGCAAATGGGTTCTCAAAAGTAGAGTTTCTTCAAAGCAGTAGTTCCATTATATAAAAACACGTAGAGCACAAAACGAATATGATGAACAAAACATTAAAAGAGAGGAAGCAACCTCAACTGTGGTCATCTGCCAGCTAAAGCCAACAAAACATTGTGATTTCACCGTTTCTGGATCGCACAACATTCCAATCGGCCAATCAGATTTGAGAGACCACTTTATAGTTTTTGTTAAGGGATAGTTCACTTTGAAATTGGCATGTTTTAGCTTACCTCAAGGGCATCCAAGATGTTTCCGCCGTACTTTAAATTTTTTATATTTTTAGGTCAAACCGTTCTTGTCTGTCAGTGCATGCACAGAGAAGTCCAAATTAAACATGATTTAATGACTCGTAAATGTAAGTACACATTGATGGCCTAAGACACAAAACGAGCAGTTTGTGGGAGAAAACGAAAAGGATTTATATCGTTTTCACCTTACGTTGCTTACATGGTTACATGAGGTAAAAACGATATGAATCCTGTTCGTTGTCTCACACAAACCGCTCGTTTCGTGTCTTAGGCCATCAGTGTGTACTTACATTTATGAGTCATTAAATCATGTTTAATTTGGACTTCTCTGTGCATGCTCTTTGAGGTGGTGACCATAGACCTGCATTATATGACTGACAGACCAGAACGGTTTGACCTAAAAATATAAAAATTGAAACTACTGTGAAAACAAAGACACCTACTGTACACCTTGGTTGCCCTTGAGGTAAGCTAAAACATACCAAAAAATTAATTTCAAAGTGAACTATCCCTTTAAGTTTAGTCTTATAACCAGGGTCATCACCTGTCATTTCCCTCTGATTTTAGGGATAAGTTACGGGCAGGGTTGGGTTTAGGACTAAATATTCGGACAGGAATGTATGTTGACCCAGGAACATGTCTTACTTGGCAAAATCACTGTTACCACACACACACTGTCTAACCTGCGCAGACTGAATTGATATAGATGCATGTGAACAGGGACATTTCAGAGTTTACAGTTTGTGGGAATACTGAGACTTGATTTTGTAATTGTTTCATAGATTGTCAAACCCTTATCCACCTTAATGAAAGGACTAATACAATATTTTATTTTTAAACATGCGGTGGGGTCCAAATAGAAATCAATTCAAACTAAGATGTCTGATTAATATTTAGATGTTATGATAAACGTAACGAAGCTTGAGACGCTCTTCTCTTCTTTATCGCAAATACAATGATGGTATTATTAAATCAATGTTATATTCTCAAAATACTTAAGTTGTCTATTTTGATTTTTGAAAACTTTTTGGAATACACGTTTATTGCCACTATTTTTAAGAATTTAACACAGAAAATATGTAATCGAGAGGAGCTTTATTGGACATTTGGCTATAAGTCCAGTATGTGAGCACGGATTAGGGGAGAAAACAGATGTAAACTGCAGACATAACGACATTTTGCTACTTTTTGAGCAGGCTTTAGCTCCTTTCCACTAAAAATATTTGGCAACACTGGATACAGATGATATCCATTACACTGTTACAATTTTGATAACTGGCAATCAAATTTGATGATTAGATTAGTGCTTAACGGATAGATTTTAAAATGATGTCTTGCCCATATCATATTCCAATTATTTATTACTTTCCTTTCTTTAAAGCTGAAGTTTCTGCACCACATCATCAAGCAGAATTGAATAATGTCTGTTTTCAAACAGGTTTCTCCTCCTCAATATGACGCCATTGCTCGGGTAATGTTGGGCTGGTCGGGATGCTCGCAGAAAAAGGGGAAAGGCGCACTTTTCTAACTAATCTAACTAATAATTGTGACTGCATATATTTTAACATTGACAAAACGACACACTTCAGTTTTAAGGTTTTCATAATAATGGCATTTTTGTTTGTTCTGAGAGCCTGTAACCTATTGACGGCGAACGCGGATTTTAACACGCATTATTGCGGATTCTATGCACTTATAAACAACCACTTTAGCTCATATAGAAAGGACAAGTTCACGATGAGATCTCCATCTATTCAAATGGTGTCCAAATGTTTCGAGAGTCAAAATACATAAAAGCTGATTTAGTGTTTGCATAACTAGAGAAAACTAGAAATGCTGAGTGTAATTGGGTGAATAAAGCCCATGTTCACATGAAAAGATCCATTATTTGTCATCAACATCATGCTGAAATCATAAGGTCATCAAAATAATGGAATGAAGTCAACCACTCCACCTGCGCAGGAAAGACCACACATGAGTGTGTGTGAGTGAGTGTGTGTGCACGGGAACCTCTGAAGGGTTCAGAACAAACATGCTGAAACTACACATGCTTCACAACAGATCAGGACCAACAGTGAGTCGCTACTGTAATGAAGAGAAGCACTTAACTAAACTAACCTCTGTCTGCGGTCACTACCCTTTGGTAAGGATGGACGCGCAGCTCGTGCCTTCGAACTTTAGCTGTCACCGCACCTGCTTGGATGGCAATAACATCACCAGAAAACACATCAACATCAGATCAGATCCATCACACGTGTGTTGACCAATGCAAATCATTGAAATGATACAAGTTAAGGCACAAATAATACTTTTGTAAATCTCCAAACACGTGTTTGTACAAAATTCAAACATGGTTTCGTTTATCCCCGCTTGGACACTCACACTCACCGGGAAGCTTTACTACTCACGTAATCTTGCGCGACAGTGTTTTTAAATATAATACTGATAAAGTCCCTCTCTGAGAGAGAGAGAGAGAGAGAGAGAGCAACATTTAGGCACATCTGCTGGAGTACAAAACCACAAAAGAAGAAGGAGAATAGAAATGTACGGCAATGAATTAAGTGATTAGTAAAGCAGAACAATCGATTGGTTTTTTTCCCCACACAAAAGCGTAGCAGTCAGCGACACAGTCCCGGGGAAGCGCGTGAGCGTGAAGGCGTGTGTATGGCATCGCAAGTACAGTCTCTGTGGGCTCTGGGAATAGCCAGTGTAAACGAACAGGAGTGTGTGGGACTGACTGCTAGGCCAGAGAAACCAACAAGGCAGCTGTGAAAGGAAAGCGTGTGAATGTTAACACTCGGATGGGATGAGGGGCTCAGTGAGGATCCTGGGGAACGCTTTTAGCCTTTCGTGGGGGAAAGACACACCTAAAGAATGAAGGAAGGGAACGGGAAGTTAGTGGCGGCGGGAAGCGACACACACACCACAGTCAGACGGAGCGCGTTCTAGGACAGTTTGTGAGACTCAATCTCGCTAAAACCAGGTCATACACCCATAGATATGTATATAAAGGGTAGATGTGTCGTCCGCACTGCTGGCCAATGGAGGTCGACGTCGGCACCTGGCGGCCATCTTGTCACAGGCAGCTCGCTCACTGGTAACATTGTTTTGATGGTGCATGTACTTTTTGAATAACTTGCTCAATTGTCTACCGATTTTCAAACGGTCTGGTTTGTTATAAACGGCAGAGATGTAGTTATGATACATAATAAGTGTATAAATAAATAATCATTCAGAATTATAGCCACGTTAATAACGTTTGTAAGAAACCAAACCGTTTGTAAATCCGTCAACGAGATAAGAGTATTTCTTACATCAGATACCACAGAGCCCGCCAGAAAGCCTGAATACTCCGCCGTGACACATCTAGCCTTTATATAGATATCTATGCTTACACCACTGTTCAACTGTACTGGGGTCAGTACTATTCTTTTCATGTTTTGGAAAAAGACTCTTACGGTCGGCAAGGCTGAATTAATTTGATCAAAAAAAACTATAAAACAGCAATATTGTGAAATATTATTACAATTTAAAGTTTTCTGTTGTAATATATTTTAATATGTCATTTATTCTTGTGATCAAAGCTTAAGTTTTTCAGTGTTTTTTGTGAAAACTGCATATTTTTTTCTAGGATTCTTCATTTGTTTGACTTTTTACCGTCCCTTTTCATTCAATTTAATATGGCCTCGCAAAATAAGAATATTTAATTATTTAATAAAATTACTATTATTTAATCATATTAATATTATTTTAACCCTTTTGAACAGCAGTGTCATATTTCAACCACAAATCTGACATTATATTTAGCATAAAGTTGTTTGCATTTTGACAAAAGTCAATTAAGAACATTTTTTCCGGGTGTTTTAAATTTTGTGTTTAAATCACAATAGATAAAAACTATTGAACTAAAACGGTAATACTGCAGTGTAACAAATACCACAATGATGTGTAAATACTTTATAAACACAGCTGAAATGGTCTACTTAAGCATGTGGTTTGAAACAGGCCTCACAGTGATAAGAAAAGTCACAAAAAGATGTTACAATGCAAAAAATCTAATCGACAAACAATTTTGTGGTAAACTATGACCCTGACACGTTATTAACAGGCTTAACAAAGTAGAAATGTTTATAATAAACGCTGGAGATGTCCTTGTGGTTAGATTTTAAGCCAAAATGCCCCCTCAAGAGTGCATTAAACTGTCCTAAAACTGCTCAGGGAACAGCCTGACTTCAACAGATGCCCGTTCTCAAATCTCCCCTCACAATTTAAGCCCCCCCCACCATTCGGCCTTCACTGTCCCCTCACCATCCTCATGTTGCCCCTCCTGATGCCCCTCACCCTGACGTGTCCCGCTCAGACTGAGGGATGGGGGTCATCCGGAAAGGCTTGTGCAGCAGTTTGGGGCTCAGTGCTTTGTCTCCCTCATCATTGTACACACAAAAAACAAACTAAAACATCACATTACAGATAAAAAACAAAAAGTACAAAACCAAACACAGAAAAAACAAAAAACAAAACATGATTTAAAGAAACAGACAGAATGGAAGAGGCCGGGGAGTCCAGCCAGTCCGATAACAGGAGGCGGGGCAGGGGCGTGTCTGCTGTGTGGGGCGGGGCTTGTCGGAGGGGGCGGGGCAAAGAGGGGCACTTTAAAAGGGAGGCCGACCGGTTGGCTCTCCGCGCTGGACTGTGATGGGAATGTGACAGGTCTGAAAGCCCAGGTAGAGGGGCAGCTCTTCGGCCTTTGAGGACGCTGTATAGGTCACACAAGAAAGAAGACAGGGTGAAAACCTCCCCTCAACACACCCTACCATCTCTTATGGGGCGTTCACACATCCAGACATTATATCACTCTTACTGCCGCTTTAATGGCTGTTCATAGCTATTCAAAATTTGATCACAAAAGCAATTGAAAGCATGCCGCCGTTTTAATCTGACAAGGAATCATTTACTTGCACACTGAGAATATTCTTGAATGTAAATTTCAGCAGCGCATTATAAAAGATGAACGATTATTCATGAATGAATCAAACCTAGAATGCCAGTCATTTCTGAGATGGTTTCTGACAAGCCTGATATTTGTTTTGTAAACAAGTGAACATTTTTACATGGAAAATAGATGTATTTATCTAAAACTAAACATATTTTCATTACTTGAAATGGAATAAACATTAACTGCAATAAAAAAAAAAAAACATTTGATTTCAGATTTCAGATTTTTATTTAGTTTAAATGAAGTACTAAAATAAATAAAACTAACACAAATGGAGGTTTGGGAGTTATGTAGTTTACTACATTACTCCCAAACCTCCATTTGTGTTATTTTATCGTGATGACTTGCTATATTAAAATGTGGAAATAATTAAGTTGTAAATGGGTAATATTTATGTCTCTCTTGTGGCATTGCATCACTGCTCATTTGCATAAATGGAGACACACCCACTGACACTGGACACACCCACACTGGACACACCCACACTGGACACGCCCACACTGGACACACCCACACTGGTTACTGGAAATCGTCAAATTAAAATGTCTGACTTCCAGCGGCCCAGTTCTTGCAAACTCGCTGTATATGTGAACGTCCCGTCCATCCCTCCACCCACAGACAGTGTAACGCTGAGGCTGTCCTATGAGCAGCGTGCTGTGAACCATCCTGCTTGAGACCGGCTCAGTAAACATGCTTATTGGACAGTAGCTAAACCCTCCTTCATCTGCTCTAATTGGACGCGCTGCTCTTGGCATTGGGACGGCTATTTGTCGCTTCTCAACTTAACACCCTGCCTTTGGGAGAAGCCAGTGTTAAACTGGCAGAATGCTGTTGGTAACATGATATTCATAATCGGCTTTTCTCAAGTGCTTTAATGAAGCCATACAGCTTGTGTGGAGTGGAGAGGACAGGGCTGTTGAGAGAGAGCGCTCTCATTATTCATATAAAGCCAGTAGAGCGCTTAAAAGCCAAATCATTTATGCAAACATTTCTTAAAAGGATTTTTTCTTTCTTTTTTATGACGCTAAATGGATTAAGTGTAAAAGGCTTGATGTATTGTTGTTTGTGTTTGGATATTATTGCCTATTACGTTGCTGGCCTTAATGCGGGAATCCACAGGCTTTTGGTCGGTGTGAGGGATATTTTAGATGAAAGCATAGGGAAGGGGTGGGCGGTATGATCAAATCTTACGTCATTTTAATTTTATTTTAATTTCATGTACACAAAAGATCAGGGCCCAAATTCACAAAACTTATTTTTCCCCGCCCCCTCATACTTCACATTACTGGATTATGTTTTACAAGAAAATGTCAGTCTTTCTACTTTAAAATGTCATGTTTACTTCAATGTGTTACTTGCCATTTCTTTGTAATTAAATATAAAATTTACATGAAATTTCAAAGTTAAAAGGGGAATAATCATCCAACACCAAGGATTACAGTTAAAAATGGTTATTTTTGTGGCTGACCTTATTTGCAAATGCATTTGTAGGAGTTTCCCTTTCAGACGCAAAATGTATGTGACGAGAGTGTTTAAATGAATCATGCAAGCTGATTTACTAAGGTTTGCGCTAGTCAGTTAATTGGTATTTGCTCCATTATTTTACCGCTCCTAAATATCATCATACCGCCCATCCCTATCGTACGGCCATAGTAGACATGGGAGTCCATCGGGGCTTGACAGTAACTTTTTGTGGCTACTGTCAGTATTTTCATTGGCCACATGGATATTTTTAATATTACTTTATAATTTGGCAGGAGGTACAATAGGCTGCTGTCACTTTAAAGGCCCATTCAAACCAAGCACGATAACTATTAAAGGACAACTCCGGCGCAAAATGAACCTTTAGTCTAATTACACATTGTTACCAAGTCAACCGTTATCTGAGATTTATTTTCATGATTGCCGATTGTAAATAGTTTTATCTCTAAAAACAGTTTAGCCTATAACGCTAGTATAATGCTAGTATATGGGGCATAGAGTAATGACAAATAAAAATCGCTTGGTATTACCACTAAAAAGGCTCAAAATAGCCCCACACCAACACGACAGCATAACAAGGGTCCCTACATTCAAACCGAAGCATTGAGAACATTGTCAGTGTCCATACAGTTTAATAAGAAGATATTTTATACACACAGTAAACTTCGCGAATACAGGAAGAAGCCATCTTGGAAAAATAGTCTCTACCAGTCGATCTACGAACGCTGATCCAAGTGCGCTGGTGAGATGTGAATAAGGTGATAAGGTGAGCGCGAACATTAGGCAACGTGTACATATTGAAGAGAAGTAAACGGTTTGTGTTTGTGTTTCTTCTGGTCAGCGCACTTGGATCGGCGCTGTTTTTAGAGATAAAACTATTTACATTCGGCAATCATGAAAACAAATCTCAGATAACGGTTGACTAGGTAGCAATGTGTAATTTAAGATAACTATAAAGATATAATTCTAAAAAATCGTGAGTTCACACCACAGCTATAACGATAAAGATATGAGGAACGATATCGTTGGGATCACTTTCAGAACGATTTTTTTCCAGCTGTCCAACGATAAAACACTGACAACCAATCAGAATCCATTCTAATTTAAAGGTCTCGCGCATTTAAAACGGCAGATGACATTGCAGAGAAGTTAATCGTCGAGGTACAAAAAAAATCCTCCTGTTTGACATGTTTGACATAACCGTTATTGTTAATGATGGTTAGGTTTAGGTGTGGGGTAGGGTAGGGTAGTCTCATATTACGCTAAAGGATTTATGACGCCTTGGGTTCGCGTGAATATTAACGATAAAGGGTGCCATGTGCGTAGTATAGCGCCGTTTTGTTGTTAGTGTGTGGACGCATGTATAGTTATCTTTATCGTTATCTTTATAGTTATTGTGCTTAGTGTGAATGGCCCTTTAGACCTGATGCATGGATCTATTATACTGTTACACCGTGTCCTAACTACACGCGACGCCGCGACACGCGATAAAAGGAATTTTTTCCATGTTAATCAGAGTTTTTGTCCTAAACAGACGCGACGGCGACACGCGAAGTTTCTAATTTCGAAACGGTTCATATTTCTGCGACGTCGCGGCTGACAGAATGAAGAAATTACACTGGTTATGAGTATATATATTATTTATTTTTAGTTAAAAATAGGTCACTGTGCCACAAGCGATAACGGATAATTTACCTCAGATTTTGAAAGCATATAATATAGCGTTCAAAATGAATTCTACATAACAAAATTAGTCAATGAGTTGGCTATATTTTGTTAATGTTTTGATTTCTAATAATGTTATTTCTTGATTTGATTATGTCCTTACCCAGTTCCAATGCGAGTGCGGGCCAGCTTTCACAGAGAGACTCCGCCCACACGCTGTTCTGAATGTGTGGCGTCTCACAGTAGCCGTCACGTCTAGTGTGGACAGACACACTTGCTGTCGCTGGAATTTTATCGCGTCGAGTTTACTTGCCAATACAGGCATTTTGACGTCATTGTATTTGACTGTTTATGCACAATAAACAGCGAAAAACAACTCAATTTAGCACTGGGAGGAGGCTTTACGTCGGGTGTGAGCACAAAAACTGCGAGAATGCCGAAACTCAAGCCATGTAACACCAACAATTTATCTGGGGTAAACGAAGCGAGTGAGTGAGGGGAGGCGGGTTTGTGTGTCACTCTCATTCGGAGAGATGATATTTCAATATCGATTTTGTCTCGAAAAATCTATATTTTTGACAACGCTACATTGCACTTAGTTGCCTTTTTAAAAAGACTACAACTGAAAAAATTTTTATATTTACTATACATAAAATTCAACCCACCAAAGTGGCTGGTAGGAGGGACTGCATTACACGCCACTGATGAAATCCACCAGCATTCAGCGGGTTGGCGGGCGTTAATGTCAAGCCCTGGAGTCCACGGGCCATGCTGAAGGGGTCTGGTTGTGTGGCTATGCTTACCTAACACCCCGCTGGAGTCGATGGGATACTCCAGAATGGAGGTGGCGGGGCCCAGTGTGTAGGGGTAATCGTAGGGCGTGGCGTAAATCAGGCCTGACTCTGGACCGGACTGCATTAGGGTGGCGCCTGCCGGGTGGGTGGAGCCGTTGGGCATGACGGTCTGGATCTGGCGGATGAGGGGCATGAGGGTCGGCCCCGCGGGCGTAGGCGTGCGCAAGGCCGTGGGCGGCAGGACAGGTGCTGGGCCGGTGATGATCCGAGGCGCCTGGGCGCTCGCTGCAAGAGAGAACGCAAGGGCAGCTGCGGTGAGCAGAGAAATGTGAGGGTGGGGGTGGATGAAGACGGGTGGGGTCGGGACAAAAAAAAAAGACAAAAACAGTTAGAACCATGCACAGGCAAACACTGGACACAAGAGCATGACAGCCATGCTAAAGCTGTTTAGCTATTCATTAGTGAGCGATGCCAGCGGACTCGAACATAGAAACGGTATCGCACTCCTGCAGTTCGACAGCGCTTCAGTGCTGTTTACTCAAGCAGCAAAGCGAGGAGGAGGATGTCAAAACATCCAGCGAATTAAGGAAACATTGTTTTCACAGATAGCAGAGCATGTTCTCAGTTCTTTCAGTTCATTAGCTGCTCTTTGGATGTAGGCGCTAATTCTGGATCACAACACTGTCAGAGGATTTATCAGGGAATCAGGATTACTGAGAGCCGCGCTGACGAAGGCTAGCAGAGGAAGTGGAAGCTTACGTGATTTGATATTGGCGTCTCTGTAGGTGCCGTTGAGAATGGCCAGTTCCATCAGTTGCATCTTCTTCAGACTGTCCTCTCCTTCGGCCTGAAACGCAAAGAGGTCAAAAACATAAGCATACTCTTTACTGCTATTATTCACGCTGAAAGCATTTTCTAGTAGAACTTTATTTTACAGTCCTGTTCCCCAAAAACATCCTATATGCTTTTACAAAAACTGGGTACTAACCCTTAATCTAGCCTTAACCCATGTAGTTGTCTTATATGTAAGCAATAGAGCCCGAACGATAAAGGCCGATACCGATACAAATATTTTTGGGATTTAAAATCCGATATATCAGCCGATATTTTATTTATTTATTTTTTTAAACTGGACATGATAGTCACAAATTTTGTCATGCTTATTTGAGTTAAGAGAACGGATGGGAATGTTCTTTTAATTGTTATTCAAGCAATGTATGTATCGTGCCCAACTCAACGAGTGTTGTCAACAGGAACGGTGTAGAGTGCCCTCTGGTGGACAAACTATACAACTCCAACACTCATGACATGGTTGAAGCGTGTTTCGTCCGTTTTTATTTTATTTTTGAAATATTCATTTGTCGGCCATTATAACTGCCGATACCGATAGTTTGGAAAATGCCTAATATCGGCCGATAATATCGGTCTGCCGATATATCGGTCTGGCTCTAGTAAGCAATAAGGTGAGTAATTAACGGCTGAAGGGCGTTGTTAGTAGGGCTGGGTATTGAGACAAATTTCACAATTCGATTCGATTTCGATTCACAAGCTTGCAATTCAATTCGATTTCGATTACGATTCGATTTGATTGAATATCGATTATTTTGGATATCAGTTACAAAAAATTGCCATTTTTCTCAAGGGAATCAAATCTCTTAAATAATGCTGTAAACTATGGGAGTCTAGTTGTAGCCAATAGGCTTCATTAGCCTAATATGAAGGTAATAATGAACTGTTTTGTAGCTATACAAACACTTAAATTAGACTTTTATTTAATTTTTTATAATAAGCAGATTATATGAAATATAAACATTTAAATGGTGGCTGTCATAAAAACTTGCCAGATTTATTCAAATATGCATTAAATATTGAAGAACATTAAGATTATAATGCATATGTAATATGGTGTATATATTTAGCAAAATGCTCCTCTCTGGAATTATTTTTTTCTAGCTGACTAACGAGTTTATGTGGGTTTTCTGAGGTAAATATGACGATACATGACGTTGATTACAAGCTGTTTAACTGACGTCTTTCCACGGTTGAAACGCTGATTGAGCGAATCAATGTGACATGATACGGATTTCGATAAGTTGTACTCTATGTTTTAACACACTTTCAGATGCTCATTCATGTTTATTTCGGGCTGTGACTGGTATTATTAAGCCGGAAGAGAGATCAGCGCTGCTGCTTCTCTTGAACTGCGCCAGAGCGATCTCACGCCACAGCGCCAAAACGCTATTTATGTTTTTGAATTTCTAAAGAAAATGGAGGTAATTTGAAAATTGAGACTTTGTTTCATATCAATAGTAACAAAGGACAAAGATTATTGCGATTTTTTTGGATGCGCGCAGCCGCGATACATATGTCCCATTCATTCAAATGAAACAGGATGACAAATCAATTCTTGAGATTTAAGAATCGATATCGGTTCGTAAAAATGAGAATCGATTAATATCGAGAAATCGATATTTATTACCCAGCCCTAGTTGTTATAGGCTCGATGTGAAGCGGAGTTACTTATACAGCCGTTACTCATTCACGATACAGCACTTGTCTCAAGTACCTTATTGCTTTTATAAAACGGTTACCACATAATACAAATATTAACATACAAAAATATGTATTAGTGCAACTTTCATGAAGTGAAATCACTTAAAGCCTTCCTTCCGCTAGAAAAAAAATAGTCCCTGACCGTGAACAGCAACAACGCTCCAGTGTGTAATATGCATGAAAGCTCAAATAAACACAACATAGGAACTGCAGTGTTGCGCAGTGATAAATAGAGCCGTTGGGTGAAGCGGTCAAAGCCGTGTTTTATCTGGAATAAAGCACAGCTATTAACCAATCAGAATCAAGGATTGGAACTAACCGTTTTATAATAAACAGTACTTTCTTAGGTAAGTACACATACTGTAAAATAAAGTGCAACCCATTTTTTTTATTCAAATCAAACGAAATGTCTTGTACAAAGTCTCACATATGTTTATCTAATGCTTGGCCAGTACATTTCAAGCACAAGGTTGTACATATTTAATATGCGTTCTTCCTCGGCTTCTGCAGTAATAAACCTCAGTACTCAAGGGTGATTGAGGTTCCTGCAAAAGGATGCGCCATTAAAGCATGTGTTAAGGTAGCTATAAACGTTTCTAGCCAAGTTTAAACAAATCTGCTCCTCCATGAAAATAGACGACCGAAAGAGAAATCTAATCATAGGAGACAACGACCTGTATTAAGTCCTGAAATAAGCAGGGTTTGACATTAACACCAGCCAACTCGCTAAATGCAGGAAGATTCCAGTAGTGGTGTGTAACACAGTCACTCATACTAGCACTTAGGTGGGATGAATATATATATAAGATATACATTATTCAATAGTAGCCTTTTTAAAAAATCAGTGCAATGTCAAAAATATAGATTTTCGCTACATTTTTTTTTAACCTTTTTAGAAGATTTTTATATTTTGTCAGTGTATATTAATTGTTTTGTATTGCATCCTCAATTTAACACGTTTTTCTGGACAATCAAAAAATACAGAGAAACTTTAAGCTTGGCCCAACACAGTCTTTAGTCTTTGTTATACACGTTAGCTGCTTTAGTAATTACTATAAATTGTGCGTAATTACATGTAACTAACCCTAAACCATACACAAAGCCTAACCTAAACCCTAGAGTAAGTACATGTAGTTCATTATTGTTACTCAGCACTTAAATTTATAATAACACTGTAACACTGACACCTCGTCAAGGTGCACTTTATTTTAAGGTGAAATTACATAAATACATACTGTAATGTAATGTAATGTTCTTACTATACACTCTAAACAATGCTGGGTTGTTTTAACCCAAAATTGGGTAAAATATGGACAAACCCAAATGTTGGGTTGAAAATGTAATTTAAAATTTGAACCCAACTTCAACTTTCACTTTCAACTGTACATTTTTTAATTTGTAACATTTTTAAACCAACATTTGGGTTTGTCCATATTTGACCCAAATTTGGGTTGAAATAAACCAGTATTTTTTTAGAGTGTTTAGGGTTAGGTTGAGAATAGGGATTGTTTGAGGGTTAGTTGCATGCAATTATGCATAATTTACTGCAACACAGACTCTAAAAAAAAATTAAAAAATGCTGGGGTCGTTTTAACCCAGCTTTGGGTCAAATATGGACAAACCCAGCCGTTGGGCTACATTTTTAACACAAAGTTTGGGTTCGTCCATATTTGGCTCAAAGTTGGTTTAAAACGACCCAGCATTTTTAGAGTGCACGTAACAAAGACACAGTAAAATGAAGTGATCCCTAATAAAGTGTAACTGAAAATGGCAATGCTTACTTGGACAGCCCCGTGGCTCATGATGTCTGAGTGTGTGTTCGTGGCGTGTGTAAGAGAGCTGTACTGTATTTACTCCCCTGAGCCTCCCTGTGCATCTAAATATCAATACTTTATTAAGTCAAGAGCCCGCTGATGAATAGAGCGGGACAGAGCTGTTATAAATCACTCTCTGTCTTTATTTAATCAGCCTAATGTGCTCTGTCCTTGAGCGGCTGGCCGGGAACAACTCTTTTCAGAGATGGCCTACATAGCAGAACTTAAGAAAGTTATGTTGTGAAGTTATGAAATATATATGCTATTTCTTCCTGTGTTGTTGTTTTGATCTACACTACATCGTCCTGGTGAGTAGACATGCTTTATTAGTGAAGACAGATGACGGGACCGCAGGAGGCTACATCTCTTGTTTCGAAAGCTTCAGGAGGGTGAATTGAGCTTAGTGTTATGGATAAAAGAGATTATTCATGGCTATATGTGGAGAGGAATATTAGCAAGATCCTCACTGTATTCTGCATGACAGCTTAATCATTTAGAAAGGGTTTAGTTAGTTTGGTGGTAAAACTGTAAGAGTGTAAGACTCATCTAATAATGAGTAAAGAGAGACATTTTTAGTTACACTTCACATGAATTGTTGAATTTTACTAAATGAATGTTAATTTCAACATTTAGTAATACATTATTAAAATTAAAAGTATTTGTTCACATTAGTTTATACACTCTGAACATGAACAACCAATGAACGGCTGGATTTTTAAACCAGTTTTTTTGTTGTTGTTAATTTAACAAAGATGAATAAATACTGTAACAAATGTATTGCTCATGGTTAGTTCATGTTACTTAACACATTAACTAATATTAACCAATGAAACCCTATTGTAAAGTGTTATTGAGATTTAAAAAACCCCCTCTTAATTACAGTAAAAACTAATATTGTGAAATATTATTACAATTGAAAATAGCTGTTTTCTATTTTAATATATATATATATTTTATTTTCATCATTTTAAAAACCAGTGTTGGGTTAGTTACTCTAAAAAAGTCATTAATAACTAGCTACTAATGAAATTTTTAACAGTGTAATTAGATTACTGTACTAATTTCTCTCTTATTCCGAATTACTTTCTAAATCACTTATCATCCTCGGTCAGTTAAACAATATAAAGAGAGGCATTAAACAGCTCTTTTCAAATAAATTATGTAACATTTGCATAATTTTTTCTTGAACTGATAAAAGTATTTAAATAGAAAAAATACACATTTTTTACATACATTAGACGTTAAATGTTTATGTTAAATCCACATCATTTTAATAGAATTGTTCTATATGCAGTTTTAATGCAATTACCTCAGAAGTAACTGTTTAAATTACAGTAAATGAAAAAAACAATCCAAAGAAAAGTAAATCAATTACACACTGCAATATGTTCATGATTTGTAAATCACAACATTTTTTCTTTTGTCAAATCAACTTAAACAATTTATGTGGTTCGGATAACATCATATTTTGAGTTTCTGA